CGTAAACGAGGATTCCGCGTGCAAGGCGAGGAACTTGCCGTTCTTTTGGCGGCAAATAGGTGATAGTGCAGTGGATGGGCGAGCGGATAATGATGCAATTATCAAACTACTGAGAGAGAAAGCTTCTCTTGCACATTCAGAGTCAGTTATTAAGTCCGATGCATTGGAAATATACATCTGGTTTGTAACACTAGAGTGTGGATAGTGTTTATATTATTGTGTCCAAATTGGTGACAGACCCCAGAAGACCTTGGATGACTTCTAAAGCTAAGCAAAATTGAAAAAGGTTGTATTTGGATAGGAGACCACCAGGAGTACAAAGCAAAAACAAATTTGTACAAAAATTGGGCTTGACTCAGAGCAGACTTTCTCTTCTGTTACATTTGGAGAGCCCATATTCATTCCCGTGCCCCAGAGATCATCAGTCCTGCCCAAATAAAAAATGGGCACTGGGAAAGTTTACAATCTTGAAGGGACAGGATATATCTATAGTAGCCAATAAGAGTAGACAGTCCTAGCCCCAGTATGTCACCATCACTACAGTCACCGTGAAACACTACAAACAACCTACAGATAGTACTTGCTTAATGATCACTTCTTCAAAAACTGTTCAAACTTACAATGGTGCTAAATGAGTACTAGTTACAATCAACTCTCATATTTACATCAGTTGCAGAGTTCCTGTAGTCATGTTGCAAGCCAGATACATGGTGCTGGGTTCACAATTATGATTTTACAGCAACCTGCTGTCATGTGATTGTCATTTGCGATCTTTGCTGGATTCCTACAGCAAAGTCAATGGGGAAGCCAGCAGGAGGTTACAAATGATGTACAAATGACATCTTAATTATCTGCTGTGATTCATTTAACAAAGGCAAAATGTGGAACAGCCTTTATTTAAACATTTATTGAAACCAATGTATTTTCTAGTTAACTAGAAAAGCCTAATATAGCAGACATAGTGCTTCCTCTTCATTATACTTACACCATGCTGTATCCATATAAGTTAAAGAGATGGACTCATACATATACATACATATATACATTCATACACACATACGCAGAGAGAGTGAGAGAGAGAGAGAGAGAGAGAGAGTATATGTATATATGTATGTAATTACCAGGAGGAGATTGAGAGTTTGATGAACTAGTGTAATAAAACAGCCTAGTTTTAAGTGTAGGAAAACCAACAGATCATTGTCGATTGCAAAAAAGGCAGGCACAGCTATACACCTCTGTATATTAATGGATCAACTGTGGAGGTGGTTAGTTGTATCAAGTTTCTGGGTATGCAGCAGATGAGCAGGTTAACTTGATCGCTCAACAGTGAGACACTGGTGAAGCGGTCACAGCTGTGCCTGCATTTTCTGCGTCGTATGAGAAGAGCATATCTTCCTTTCCCTGTTTTTACCACTTTCTATAGAGGGACGATTGAAAGTATCCTGTCATATTGTATTACTATGCGGTTTGGAAGTATTACTGTTTCGGAGAGGAAGACTGTGCAGAGAGTGGTAAGGATGGCAAAAAGGATTATTGGAAGCTCCTTTCTATTCAGAATAGAATAGAATATCTTTATTGTCATTGTGTAACTCACAACAAAATTAAGTACATAGCATATATGCAATGCTTGACCGGGGGATGCAGTATTGCCAGGGATGCTACATATCCTCTCCATGATTGGTTTTCATGACCTTCTGGGAGGAGGCTTCACAGTTCTGAAGCAGAACTTGATTCTGTAATAGCTTTGTAATATATAGTATCAACCTTTTTACCTCTCAAGACTCTTTTCCTCTACGTACACAATATGGATTATGGTTAATATATGTGTGTATATTTATGTATGTGTGTATGTATGTATTTATGTATGTGTGTATGTATGTGTGTATGTATATGTATATATGTATGTATGTATAACAATATGGATCCATGACATCAGCAAGCATTGCAAGCTCAATTGACGAAAGAAAGCTCGGGACCCTATTGGTTGGAAACCAATGTGGAAGAGTTCTTCATCCTGCAGTGGATAGACAATGGCTAAAATGATGATGATGTATATATGTACAGCATATGTATATGTATGTGCACAAATGTGTACGAATATATATATATATCCTTTGAGAGTGGGTCACTTTTTCATGTGAACACTTAGAAATGCATATATATATATGTGTATGTGTGTGTGTATATATACATATATGTATGTATATGTATGATGTATGTATGTATGTAAGTATGTATGTATGTATGTATGTATGTATGTATTTCATTCAATATATTTTATCCTGACCTGAAAAAGGCATGTCTTGTGCCGTGCAACTCTTTCTGGAAAACTTTCATATCTGAGCAAGAAAAAGCAATCTTCTGGATCCATGAAATTCTGAAAGGCACTTGATCTTTGTGCTACTTGGCAGGTTTAATTCTGGTGTGTCAAATATGCTGTTTCACAATCTTTGCAATTCTATTTTACAACCTAGTAGATTTTTCTCTTCAAGACAACTCACAAGTATATAGACTCAAACCCATACCACTAGAAAATTTATTTTCATCTGGATGATCTGTTTTAGAAATATGCACCTTGGCACCTCCTAGAATTATAGATGGCAATTCTTATATGCCCAATCAGTAAGACCAGTAAGGATCATTATTCAAAATGTATGGAGGGCATAGGTTTTCCTATTTTGATAAATTTCATAAGGAAAGAAAATCACTAAAAATCCACATTAGAATACTCTGCAGAAAAAAGAATGTTTTTGATTAAATGAGGAAGGGAGAGGAGTGAGAAGACTTTTAGATTACCCACAGTCTGCTGTGGAAGGGTGTACCCTTTTGGGATTTCATCTAAAACACGGATTCTCCAATCTGATACCTGTCAGCTGTTTGGACTATACACAATAGCATTCCATATTGCAATCCTCTGGCACATAGGTTTGCCAGATGCAATCTACTTCATTAGCAGTTTATGAACAAGCCCCAAAGCCTTTTTCTGGGGCTTTCATATCATAAGATAGACAATTAACATTGTTTTAAAATCTTCTTAACACCGGAATGCTATCAGTTCTGTAACTAAAATCCCTTATACTAACCATACCAGCAAATTGATATGACAGTGCAGAAAGTGGAAAATTTCTCTCCAAAGAGAGAACATACAGTGTATATTTGAAGCAGCCTCAGTTACTTTGAACTGGCAATTTCCTGTTCATGGATACGGTATTTCAAATTAAGTTTGCCACCTGGTGACAATGCAACAAGGGCAGGGATAGTTTAAAATGCTCACAATTGCAAGTCTTGACTATTGTGTCATGTATCAGGGTGAGGGAGGGGTCATTTCACATGGGCGTTGGAACAATGTGTGTGTGTGGAAAATAAATTATCTACCGTATTTTTCCGTGTATAAGACACTATTTTTTCCTGCAAACATCTTGTTCAAAAATCAGGTGCATCTTATACAAGTGCATTATACATGAAAAAATAATGGTAACCTCCACAACCCAGGGCATGCCTGGGTGGGTTCTTTACATGTCACTGCCTGGTGCAGGTGTCAGGCCCCTGTGGGCTTGCCACTAACGGATGGGACCAGCAGCATGGATGGCAGTGACAGCCCTTTCCCTCGTACCTGTGCTGGCCGGGGACCCTGTGTAACACAGCTGCGAGGCCATTCTGCTCGATAATAGCGGCTGGCTGAACTTCCGGATTTGCTGGCTCAGCTGTTTGGCACTCCACCGAACAGCTGATAGGTGCGGAGAAACGGCGGGGAGCTTAAAACCTGCCTTTGCTTTCCTTGCCTTGCTGTCATGCTGGTGCTCATGCCAGTTTGTTTACCAGGGTCGGAAGGCTGCTGCATGCTCATTATGCCAGATGTTGGTTCGGTGGGTGGGGGGTGGTGTTCTGTCCCAGCCTACGTATGTCCTTGTTACTGCACAAAGACAATCCCTCTTTTAACAGTAGACTGGGACATAAATCCCTTTTATTTGAGTTACAGACCTGATAATTGTCCCAGAAAAACAAAAAAGCAACAGAACACTTTTCCAAGGGAGCAAAACAGAGCACGAGTCAAACAGGAAATAACTCAACAGGCAAAATAAACAGACCATGATCTCTTGACTCTGAAGTTCTTTGCAAACAGTTGCCTCCAGCAACCAGCCCTGCCCACACATTCCCTTTTTGTTACGCAGCCCCCAAGGTGTAGCTTCTCACTGTTTTCTCCTCTTCCCCTGGAGTTGCCCCATTGCCTCCCTCTGTCCAACTCGTGTGACCTACCTACATTTACGAGCGTCTCTGAAGTCTTCCAGCTGTGCTTCCTCTGAGTCTGACTCATCTTCCCAGCACAGCTGGCTCTCAGCTCGATCATGAGTGGAAGGACCAACCTCATCAGTCTGTAAGTCCTGCAGCTTATCAGAGCCTCCCTCCGACTCTGATGGCTCTTCAGGCCCTTCCTCCTCTGATTCCCCAGACTCAACTACCGGGATCACAGGCTGATACGGAACCACAACAGGTGGGGCTGGCTGGGAGGCGTCTATTTAGACCGCTGGGAGGCAGTTGCTCCCAGCACTAACTTTGTTTGCTGTAAGCTTGGAACTTGCCAGAGCATCTTATACAAGGGTGCGTCTTATACACGGAAAAATATGGTACATTTTATATTACAGAACAAGGATTCTGATGCAATATTTGAAAAGTAGATAGCATAGTTAAAGACAGCTAAGTGATATTCCATTTTACAGAATAGGAACACTGAGGGTGAAAGACACAAACAGTTAAGCACAGCAATTTCTTTACATGTAGTTTATAAAGTATTGGGAATATGCAATTTTGGCAGACTACTGCACATCACAGAGGCCTGCTAGTATATTCTAAACCATCCCTACATTAGAGGATATTGAAACAATTCCATAATAATAAATAATTAAACTAACAGAAAAATACAAAAAAATAAAAAGACCAATTCAGTAGTGGAGTCTGTGGCTCAGGTGTTTATAGGTTCTGCTGTTTGAGAAGATGAGTTATTACAAAAAGAAAGCATGAATGCCCTGGAATTTATGCTTTCTGCCGTGCCTGTCATGATCCCTCAGGTCTCTTAATCCCCGCTTTGTAAGATCATTTAAGTATTTGATGGCTTCTCCCTTTGTAAAAGAATCCTGGATATCAAGTAATTTTGTCTGAGGTCGAACCATCCCACAGTTAGGCATCCAGTCTGTGGATGGATTGCAGCTTGTTACAATCTCTCCGACATTAGAAGCACATTCGGAAACTGGTTTACTAGCACACCTTTCACACTTCAGCTGTGTTGAGATTGAAGTTGGCTTACTAAGAATGGCAGGATTGTGCCACACAATATATCTGTTTAAATGGGAGGGTTGCAAATCTTCATAGTAAATGGATTCTGCAGGTTTTAGAAGAGGCTCTGGTTCAGGTGGCACTGCAAGTTGCCTGCAGTACAATTGATCTGTTTTCCAGGTATCCGTAATTTTCCGAAATCTGTTTGAGAGCAGTTTCTTATCTTTGCTGTTTTCTTCCTGGCCAGCTGCTTCAGGCTGAATCCAATCGTAGAGCATATATTTGTCCCTTTGGCTTGCTTTGTTTTGTGTATCCTGTTGAAGGGGACTCAGGGATGCTTTCCCACTATTCTGCATTCCCTCTGAATGCCAGTTTATGCTGCAATGGTCTCTCAAGTGAAGTGGTAACTCGTAGTTCTCTGTAGCATGCTGATGTTGATGATGTGAGACCTTGCCTTGAAGGACACGGGCAATGCGTCCTTCCAAGGGCCTTACTTGAGACATTGCTGAATGAAGGGATTCTCTCTGAAGAGCAGATGGAATAGAACTGATTCCCAGGACTTATATGTACAATGCTGTACATCTAAATAAGATGTTCTAGAACCAAATAGACCTATATATTTATTTCATATGAGCATCCATCTCAGTCTAGTGATTCTTAGTGATTAGCAATACATAAAATATAAAGTAACACAATATAAAACAAATCAATAATACAATGCAACTGAGAGTTGTAATAAGTTATAGATCACTGAAATAAGGCTAAGCTAACATCCTGGCACCAGCGCTTGAGGGAAAAACCAGATCTTCAAGGACTTCTGAAGATTAATAGGGTCACAGTCATCCAAACTTGGGTGATGCTGTTCTACAGTGCAGATGCCGCAATAAAGAAGACCAGCCTCTTGAGTCCCCACTAGATGACAGTGTTTAACAGAAGGACCCAGAGCATGTTCATTTTGCCATGAACATGGCAAAACAGGTGATTTGGTAATGCAAGTGATTACTGGTGTCAGCCATGATATGCCCATGTAACATCTCTGCCTTGCCATCAAAGAAACTAGCCCCTATAGATTTCATCTTGAATTGCATGTGGAAATCTGTTGGGAGCTAATTTCTTTGATGGCAAAGTAGTGATATTATATGGGTATATCATGGTGTGCTTAAAGCAACAGACATTGTTTCATGGTGGACCAGTTGCCATTACTAAATGCTTTTCAAGACTAGCTCCATATTATAGAGCATATTGCAACCGTCCAACCAAGTAGCAACTAAACATGATTGATTAAAAGAAGGGCCTCCTGATTCAGGAAAAGAGCACAAAGGGCAGAAAAGATGGATTTATGCAAAGGCCCTCCTGCCATTCACATCAAGCACCGACTAAGCCCTCCTTGCAACAGAGCTTCAGAAACAAGCCCAAGTTCCCTCTGAAATCCAACCAGTCCATTAGGTGCTTGTGGTGGACTGTTCAAGTAAGTTCTTCCACTCTGCAGGAAGTTCCAAAGCTGCAGGAAGTTCCAAAGCTAACATGTGATTTTGCCATGACAAGAGACTAATGGTAATGTCTGCCATATCCAGATGCATGATACCATTTTCCATACTTACAAGATCCACATTTTTGCCCAGTTCTCCTGTTGCTCTGCCAATTAATTTGGCATTATAGTCATCCAGCTGCAGTGGGTTCATAGGCCCGCTACCTAGAAAGAAGGAACTAAAATATTATTTTATTATTTTTATTCTTTTTAAACAAGTATTATCTCGTTTGTCTACATTTTCTTTTTTTTATCCCCTGTAGTTTTTTTAGAAAGATATAGAGCACCACATGATTATCTGAAAGTGTTTGTGATTTACCTGCTAACTTGAATTATAATACTTTAGTTTGCTAAAAATGCATACCTGTGTAGTCTCGCTTGTAGGTAGATAGCCAAAGAGCCTTCTTTACGTTTTCTAGTATATTGGCAGCTCGGGGTGAAAGATCAGATTCTGGAAGCTGGAATGTTGATTTAGGAGTTTCATCTTGGTGACCAATTCCTTCAATGACCTGAGGTTTGGCATAAAAATATAAATAAAACATGTTGATAAATGACTTCACTTGAAGCCATATTGGGAATGCATACTGCTTCCTCATTGGTTTGGGAAATAGCAGTTTTTAAAATTAAAATTTTAAAATTAAATTTAGAACATTTAAAAATCTAACAGGAAACTGCATATATTTTCCATCTCCTATGTACCTCTTTTCCTTTTTATTCCAAAATAAGCTCAGTATAATTGAGATGTAATGTTTAATGAAAAATGTATTCATTTTTCCCCCCTGGCTGTTGTTCAGAATAAATAGGACTTTGAAGTGTTAACATTTTAGAAAATGTCAGTTCCATACATACAGAAACTGATTTGGATTGAGACTATAGACCTTACCAAAGGTTAAAATACCCTGGCTTTCCTTCTAGTTCCTGATCCAATTCAAATCAGGAAATGGAAAGGGAAAGGGGGAAAAAGGGAACCGTTCTAATAATGATATTGAAAGGTTCTGGAACAAAGGGAAATTGTTTAGTCTAACTGTTGCTTTCTTACTTTTTGTAATCAGCTTTTGCACCAGAGAAATTTTATGCAAGTGTGGGAAACATGTACATTGATGGGATATACGGAAGGAGGGAATAAGGAAGTGTACAGGAATGATTGATGTCTTTCTTATGATGTAATGGCTCTGTTGTCTGATTTTCATTGACCTGGGATAGGCAGATGATGATGATTGTTGTTGTTGTTATTTTGGTGTCTTTGGGTCAGTCCTGGTGACTGCATCAACAAGTCCATGCAATTTTCTTGGCAATATTTCAGGGGTGGTTTTCTATTAATCTCTTTCCAGATTGAGGAAGAGAAAAAGAGATTGCCCCAAATAACTCTGAGGACTTCTATGACTCCCAGAGATAGTAGCTTTTTGAGATTTCAGATTAGGCTTACTGGGAGAACCAGATACTGAACCTGAGATCTGAAACATGCATGCCATGTGTTCTGTCACCAAGTTAATGCTCTTTTTCAACTACTGGTAATAATTACTTACATGACTTGAACACGTCACAGCTTCTCTATGGATAGATTGATTGGCATCTGCCTTTTTATTGGGGTCAACTGCAATGTCAGATGAAAACATTGTATTATAGTATGAAATTCATTACATTTAGCTTAGAATCCCTATTAGTTCTGCCCAGATTAGCACAGAATTGACATTGCTTGTGATATTCTTCCATTACATTGCATGTAGTTTTTAAAAGTACCATGAAAATTAAAACAAAGGAAGTTTTATTTCTCTGGCTTTGCAGATAAAGTTCTAGATCTCTGATTCTGATTCTGTAGGACTATTAAAATAATTCGTTTTGCTGCAGACACAAGGAAGTGAAGATACTGGAGTTGTGTTTGCATGCTGACATTGAAATACTGTTATGAGTAGGAAAAGTAAGGGAATGACTACTATTAGGATATTTAATGAATGAAAAATAGTCTCTACCGCCATCCCTTTAAAAGGAAAAAGTCTATATAGCAATAGAGGCAGATTAGCTTTTGTATCTAGTCTCCTTTTGGGGGGGCAGGATAACTTTCTTTCAATAAAACAAGACATTTTGCTATAAACTAAATACAGGAAATGGTTCATGGTATTTTTTTCTGGTCCGTGAGCCTTGTACACAATTAGTTTTAGACTTTCCAGCATTATTACTAACAGTTAATTAACATGGACTGTAACAGTTACCAAACTAGTCTATAATCCAAATATTGATTTTTCTCTATAATACCCTTTTAAGCTACAATCAAAATATGGGAGGGGAGGACTATGCTACAGCAAAATCAATGAACACTAAGTGTATAGGTTATTCAAAAGCATTTTTCTAGGAAAAAAATCCCCAAAGGCTAACCTGTAAATAGTGTTTTCTCTAAGACATCATACACAGTCCTCCAAGCATTGTTTTAAGTGAAATGTTCACATTTCATGGATAGTAAAGATAACTGAAGTCAATGTGCCTTGAAGAATAATATATATTGTTGTTGTTTACTTAGGGCTGTGCAAAGCATTTAAAAGAGCCACTTCTCGAAGTACATGGCTTGAGCAAAGTATCCCTCCATAAAGTACCAAAGCAACGATGCTTTTGGGAACATTTGCATAGCTGCTTTGAAAAAAATTCCCCATTATCTATGCATATGCATGAATGGACCTTCTACTGGAATTTCCAGTGGAGCACTTTGCTTGTTCTCTACTGAATATTTAAATACTGAATATTTAAAACGCTATCCTAGAAAAAGAGAAGCATGCTTTACCTTGGATGTCAGTGCTGCAATGGACATAAGGATGAAAAGGACGAAATCGGCCCTCTATGAGTAGAGCCCCTGGTGTCTTATATTTTAGATACCTTGTGCACCTAAACAATAGAGCAGATTTTATAAATATTTGGCAAGAAAATAAAACACATAATGTTACATAACAGCATATCTTATTGGTTTCTGTAAGTCCTGTGTGGATTCTTCTCCTTCTCCTTCTCCTTCTCCTCCTCCTCCCCCCTTCTCCTTCCCCTTTCCCTTCCCTCCTCTTCCTCCTCCTCCTCCTTTGTCTTTGTCATCCTAAATCCATGTGATCAACCTGGTTATTGACTATGAGTAGCAAAGAATATGCACCTTTTTATAACATGTTTTTGCATCCTTCATAGGTCAATATATATACTTCCTATATGGAAGGCATTTGTACTGGTTTCTGCAAACCAGAAAAGTAATAGCTCATATCTGGGAATACTGAGAATGCTAAACTCCTTGTTATGGCCTCTCCCTTGTTTACTCATGGTACAGTAACCTCATTACTCATAGTACATAAACTAAGAATCAGGTGTGGACAAGCAGGAATTTTGATGTCTATTATGCTATGGATTATGAATCCAGTATTAAGTTCATATAGCAATAGCTGTATAAGTCTCCTCCTATTTTGTTTACATAGCTGTGCCTGCCCTATGCCTATATTTCATCATATTACTTATACTATTACTGAGAGTTGAAGTCCAACTATAAATACATTGCTTTTTATTTTTTAAAAAATCAGATCTGACACATTCTGTTCACACAGATTCAGTTTTTAAGCACTACCCACAGGTATTGTATGCTTTTAAAGCAGGGACGAGGAGCATGTCAATCTCCAGGTGTTGCTGATCTATCACAGGTTCACCACTGCACTGGCCATGATGAAGGTAGCTGTTGGAAGGTGGAGTTTGATGATTATAGATTCCTGTTGCTCATATGAAGGGATTGGTTTCCTGCACAGCTTATATTTAAAGTGGCTGTGAAGAGCTGAAACCAGTTCAGAAAGCCCAGATTACTGCTCCACCTACCAACACTCAGGTGGTACCAATGAATATAATTTAAGAGAATGATCTCTACATGGGCAGAAAGAAATAGAAGATATATGCTTACTTGTTTGAATTGGAATTTTCTGGTAACTCAGGTAGTCTGTAATTAGAATAAAAAAAGATTCTGCATTTATTTATTTATAAATCTAATTTATAAAGCTGCTCATACCACTGACACGATTCTAGGCACCATACCATAAAACAAACAATTTAATCTTAAGCTATGTTATTAAGTTAAGTTATATTAAAAATAATTAATATAAAAGATAAATAAGATCACAGGAGAATGCATCAAAATTTCACACACAATTTACTTCTTTTTTATTTGTACTCCACCTTTGTTATTTTAAAAATAGTTCAAATTGGCAAACATATCCAACATACTTCCGTCCTCCTATTTTCCCCATAACAACTCTGTGAGGTGAATGATTGGCCCAAAGTCATGTTACTTTGAAGACTTTTAATTTGAACAAATGAAAAGTTGTTTTGATGCTATCAGGTGGTTAAATTCTAGAAAACACTTTTAATCTTCCAGTCCTGAACAGTCAATTAAAGTTTAAAATAAACATACAGAATCTTTGTAATATATATTGGTGAAGAGGGCAAAGAGTGGGAACCAGGGCTTATTATTTTTCTCTTTAAATTTCCTCATTGTAGAAGTATGAAGCTGGTTGGGTGAGGGAGTTAAAACTCCTTAAAATCACCTGCAACCTGGCATGTAGGTTTGAAAGAAAGTGTAACAGAAGCCCAGAACAGGCAGACAAAAACCTCCCTCTTCCCAAGGTTGGCAGGACATGATGCTAGAGTTAAAGGTGCCTTGATAAGATAAGCAGCTGAGAAATTTGGTATAATGGTTAAGGTGTGCTGGCTTAGAAAGCAGGAGATTGTAGTTCTAGTCTCACTTTAAGCCTGAAAGCTAGTTGAGTGACTTTGATTCAGTCACTCTTTCATAATTCAAGTCACCTCACAGAGTTGTTCTGGAGAAAATAGGACAAATGAATATTAAGTATGTTCACCGTATTGATTTATTTATAAAGTAAGAAAGGTGGGATAAAATCTAATAAATAAAAATAAATAAATTATCCTCAATCGGGAATCGGAGGAAGGCTAAAGCAGATGATGCTGAAGAAGGAATATGTAAAAAGAGTCAATCAAAAACCGAATGGAGTTCAACAACCTTAATGGAACATTTTTGGTGTCCTCATCATAGCAGGGTGCATGAGTAAACTTGTAAGGTGGCTCATAGATTCTGTGAGATTCAGGTAGCATAGGCTCACTTCCTCTAGGTTCTTGATTTCCTCTTAAGATTGATTTGCATAGCTGAAATGTTTTCCTTAGCTCCTCATATCTGGAATGAGATCAAACATTATGAAAAAACAATTCCAGCTATAACATACAAAGCCTGGTTGATAGCTTATGGTGATCCAAAATTGCTGAATTACACTTCCCAATTTTTATCACTAACTAGCTGTACCCGGCCATGCGTTGCTGTGGCTCAGTCTGGTTAAATGGAAAAGAAAGAAAAGAGAAAGCGCACGTTTGTAATATGTTTAATTTCACAATGCTAGTGTGTGTTGCTTTTACGTCCAACAGATGGCGCTGTTTTTTTTAAAAAAAGCATGTTTTTACCTGTCACAGGTGTGACATCTATATAATAGTAGGTATATAAAAACATGCACATATTCAAATGCAATATTGTGTCAAAATTTCAAAGCAATCAGTGAAGAATTTTCGGAGATTTAAGATTTTGAACAAACAAACATTTACATTTTTATTTATATAGATTCTTGTAACAGATAGGATCTGAATGTTGTGTTCACACATATCAAGCTATGGCTTGCTTAATCAGGATTTATTGAGTAAACCACAATTGGCAGGGTTTATACAACATACAATTAGCCTGATACAACATACAAGTAGCCTGATACAACATACAAATAGCCTTCAGTTAACTTAACTCCACCGTAATTGACCTAAAAGGGTCAATGAGAATTTCCCATGGCCAACTTGCCACAGCCAACTCACCATGGCTAATTTGCCATGACCAACTTGTGCCGCCAACTCGCTGCAGGACAACTCGCTGCAGGACAAGAGTTATGCTAATATCAAAGAAATAGTGGAATAGAATCATTAAAGAGAGGATGCAAAATAAGGGGCAGAATGAAATGTGAATGGCAAAAATTAAAATAATTTACTATTATAAATAATTAAATAGAATTGTTAAATTGTCTCGCAGTGAGTTGTCCCACATCAAGTTGGCCACGGTGAGTTGTCCCGCAGTGGGCTGGCCGTGGTGAGTTATCTGTGGAAAGTTGTCCCATTCTGGACCTAGAAAGGCTTCAAGAAAGTGCACCCTGGAATCTCTTCCATTCCAATAATCCAGATGGAAAATTTATAGCAAATTATTGTAAATAATGAAATAGAATTGTTAAACTGTCTTGCAGTGAGTTGTCCCACACCAAGTTGACCAGAGTTAGTGGTCCCGCAGTGAGCTGACCGTGGTGAGTTATCTGTGACAATTTGTTGCACGGCCAACTCTCTATGGGACAATGCATCACGGCCAACTCACTACGGGAGAACGTGCCATGTGACAACTCACTGTGAGACAGTTTAATAATTCTATTTAATCATTTACAATAATTTTCACAAAGAAATACTACAATCCGTATAAAGCTAAATAGTTTTCCCCAATACAGGGAATTAAACAATACTTAGCCCAAAGAAGCAAGACTAAGCTCTGATTTTAGCAATTGTGCAGATGCATCCCATTATATAACAGTTATTTGAAAATCTGGATTGAAGCTATGGACGATAGAGATGAAAGCAGTTAAAAGGTGATTTTTTACCTTTCTGGGAATATAGGTGGGCCTGGAGGGATATGCAGTGGAGTAAAGTGATCAGTGGATTCCAAAGTTTTTGTTATTACAGCTGTTCCATCTTGTACATCATTGTAATAGGACAGTCTTGGGTGCACCTCCATTTTTATCTGCTATGGAGAGGACCTGAAAACAGATAATTTCAATAATCTGGTTCTGAAACCAACCAAACAAATACATTTCAATACATTTTCAGATTGTATTGGAACACTAAATATGTTTGAATGAATAAAATGGATAAGGACTTTTAGTATTTAACATAAATAAGAAGGGAGGGAAAATTTCTAAAATAAGAGGCACAGTGATTTTGCATTTTTAGTAGATCAAGGTTTCTAATTAAAACAAGAATTTGATTTGTCAGAAGTCACATAAATAATCAGAAAAAAATGAATGTGGTGTCATGATAGTTTCTTTTACTAGAGTGTTGGATTGAGTAAAATATGCATATCATGACTTTAAATATTTCTGTATATAGAGATGTAACATGAGGAATAAAAGGTATTTTGATTCCCCTTAGTTCATGACAGAAAGGCACAATCTATTAACACTTGCCAACTGTGCTTATTCAAATGATCAAATGTGCAGTTGTTAAATAATATATCTTGTAATTATAATCTTAGCCTTAGATGTTCTTCAAATGTATTAAACATCAATTCCCATGATAATCAGCTACCATAGAAAAGAGACATGCTCTCTATAAATTATGGGAGTAGTTTGAATACAGTGAGAAGGTGTTCAATTGAGGAAATGTCTTTGAACTCTAGGGACAGTTAAATCTATAGTCTTCAACTACGACTAAATTAAATTCTCTTTGGCTACATTGGTTGCTGGGAGGTATAATTCAGTTTATCATTCACTGTTCTCTTGCAGCCTCAAATCTACCTACCTTTCCATTTAAGTGTTGCACAGGATATTGAATTACTTCCTTAGCTAGACCCCCAAGTTTTTATCTGACATCACAATGACTTGGTCATCAGCTCCTTGTGAAATAGAGGAGACTATCCTCACTCTTGTTTCTATCTAGAGTAAAAAGAAATGACTGAATTTTCACAATGGTTTTTAATCAAATCAGTCTGAAGAGTGAAACATATTTGGGATACTATAGGGGGAAAAATATCAGTGACTGATTTACTCAGGCAGGATTGAAAGTTAAGCTGATTAAGAGACAGAGAAACCTTTTGCAGACAAACTATACTCTTGCTGGAAATGATAAAATAGAAGGGTGGTTATCGTTTGGTAAAACTAGATTTTGATTCCATTCCTACACAAGAGAAAATAATCTGCCTTATCAAGCATTTTAAATATCAATTTTAAGCTTCAGTGGACAGCTTCTACACTCTAGTGGCCGCAGGATAATTCTGAAAAGATCCAACTTTAGTTTTTGAGATTCACGCATAACTTTGAAATTATTCAATATTAGAAAAGGAATAAAGAAATACACTTCTTTTGTTAATACGTCTACTTTTTCATATTGACAAGAGCTGAAAGTGTGGCTTAGCTGTAGTTATAATGTCTTCGATGCCATAAAATGATGCCAATATGTTGATTGTTTATAGGTCAGCTAACTTGTCTGTTTGCTTAATTTCTGATAGGAGACTATGAATAAAACAATTTTCACCATTCAAGTCAGCATTGAGAATTCTGCAGCATATATGCTACATGTGATTCTAACATTCCCAGATTTTACCATTAAAATTCAGAATTAAAATGTTCACATTTCAGAGGCACAGTTTCAGACTATTTGAGGGGAAATTTGGGGTAAGCAGGTCTTAAGGGTAGAATGGGTTCCCAGAACTGCTCTTTTCCTAGTGTAGCCTCCAAAAGACAAAAGGGCCAACGTCTTTGGCCCTGCTCTCTCAGTGACATCATAGCATTAGGAGAAAGTACCTGTGCTTATTCAGAACGTTGGGATTGCATTGCTGCTCTGAACCCACACACATCAGCTGTCCATGCTTTAAATTAAAATATACCATGTCACCATAGCTAAAAGGGCTATCTGAAGGTTATTTATGGATGATTCTTTTCTATATAGGGAGGGGACAATATGGCATAGCCCATTATGCATTAAACCACAATGTTGATTGTTTGGTTTGGTTCTAAAGGCTGAACCCAGCTATTGTAGGCTGAAAATGATGGTTTATGAATTAATGCTATATTGGAACCATACTACTTATTTATTTGTTTACTTGTTTGTATCCCACCTTCATTTTTTTACAATAACTCAAGGCAGCGAACATATCTAATAAACTTTTCTTCTCTAATTTTCCACACAACAACCCTGTGAGTGAATTGAGCTGAGAAGGAGTAACTGGTCCAAAGTCAGTTGGCTTTCATGGCTAAGGCGGACTAAAACTCACAATCTCCTGTTTCCTAGCCTGGTATCTTAACCACTAGACCAGACATGTTAAACACAAGGCCCGGGGGCCGGATGCGGCCTGCGAAGTGGTTTCATGCAGCCCACGAAGCCATCCTGGAAACAATGAGGGAATGGCCCCCACTGCCTTGGCCCTGGCCCAGGCCGGTCAGGAGCCAATGTACAATTTTGTGGTGGCCATCTATGCTGAAACGCATTCAGTCTTAGCTCCACAAGGCCGTCTGGAAACAGCGAGGAACCAGCCCCTGCCACGTCGGCACCACTTCCTGGGTGCATGCTGGGGAGGTGTCACCCTTTGTGAGGAATGAAGAAATGTACCATTGCCTAGAAGTGGCCAGCAAATGGCCCTCGGCTACTTTACATATCCGGCTTGATGGGCTCCGGCGGAGGGGTTTCAGCAGGCAGTGAGGCTCCTCCAGTGGACCATGCCTTGGCACTTGCCCTGGTCCCACCCCCTTCTGCCAGAGACCCTCAGATCTGTCCCACTACTGCCCAGGCCCCCGTAGGCACCCTTGACGCGAATGATATAGAGCTGGCCATGCCCACCCAATAGGCCACACCCACTCCATCCACACTCACCCAGTAGGCCACACCCACCCTGGCCACCCCCCCGAGGGCAACTGCAATGCTGATGCAGCCTCAATGAAATTGAGTTTGACATCCTGCACTAGACCAAATTGGCTCTCTATTATACTATTATAATTACTATTACTATTATATTTTTATTGTGGTTTGTCAAGGCAGGGTTAAAATAAACATGACTGCAATGAGAAACATTCAGTCTTTAGCAGAGACTGGAAATCTGGACATATGAAGGCCAAATATGAAAGTACTGCATTGGAAAGCTGGATTGCGATCCTTAACAACTCTGTGCCTGAGGTGCTTATCTGTTCTATCTTTCATTTCAGAATTTTAGCATTAGAATCTGAAAAGGACACAAAATATTATCTTCTCCCATGCCTGGGCAGAAACACCTTTGAAAGTACTTCTCATTCCTTGCTTGAATGAGGAAGGATCTGCTTCCTTTCATCTGGGCAGAGACATCTTTTAACAGCAGAGATCCAGATGAATATATTCTTTAATCTTTCTTTTTTTCTTCTCCTTCTTGGGGGTGAAGCTTCTTCCATAATTCATATGTTTCCTTTATCCCCTCTTTGCTTCTCCAGATGCTTCTGGGTGAACAAAAGCTTGCCAAATGCTACCAGTCACTTGCAGCTTGTGGGTTAGTTGCTGCTGCTGCTTAACAACTGAATCTTGAAAACCGCACTGTCTGTACAACATAAGCAAAACTGGAAGTGAGAAGACAAATATGCTGCAGCAAAGTCTTGGCCTGCCACAAAAAGTTTCCCAAACTTTCAGTTCTCCCAAGGGGAGAACAAGTGGTAGAATTGTGCTAATCATAATATAATATTTTCATTATTTTTGCATTGAAAATTTTTGCATTGAGGTTGATATGAACAGGTTGTTTCTGGTAATATTTAATGTGTCTTCTCCAGTTGTATACTGTATCTGCTGTTCAAAACTAAGTTATTTGTGTGATCTCATCTCATCCTGTAAAGTATTTCATACTAAACTTCCTGCTTTGTCAACCTCAGGTAGCATTTCTGGGTTACTTATTCAAAATATATTAGGAGGAGGTCTATAGTGGCAAAAAACCCAGAAGCATTAGTTTATTAAATATTTGTTAGTCAGAAGATGTGCTGAAAAGACTCAAAATAACAGTTGCATCATCTCCTGCTCTTCAAAAATAATAAAAAAATTAGTAGCAATTCTTACCAGAGAGAGGGACTGCAATTTGTGGGAAAGACAGATGTAGCTGCTGCTGCTGCTTCTTCTTCTTCTTCTTCTTCTTCTTCTTCTTCTTCTTCTTCTTCTTCTTCTTCTTCTTCTTCTTCTTCTTCTTCTTCTTCTTCTT